TGTACAGGTTGCTATTTCTGCTCTCAAGTGCGATGTTTAAATTATTTAACAGTTGCACTGACCAGTCAGAAAGATCTTGGCTGAAGCAGGGTCCTTGAAGGCCCTGTGTGATGAGGGTGAGAGGGGCATTAACCACTTAGTTGCTGAACTGTGGAAAGGTCTGGGAGCTCTGGGGAGTGGCCAGGGTAACAGGGTGGGGCACCCAGGGTATTCAGAGCTGCAATTTTTTTACCAATTGGTAAGGAATTACTGAAATAGTTTAGTAACCAATACTGGTATACAGGTGCAGACTTGCCGAATGTCACTTCTGCCTATTCTCAGTCACTTGGCCTTGGGGTAAAGAGAGGGAGGCACTCTGGCCTCTGAAAGAATGCAGGTGGAGGGATTGCCCTGCTAGCCCTTGGCTGGTCACCCTGAGGCCTGCTCTTTGTCCTGCCCTTGCCATGCTATTGGCAGCATTTTTCTCAGCAACTGACAGGCTCCTGGCTGATCAGTAGTCAGTTGGCTGAAAGGCCTTGAGTACTTACTGTGCATTTGACAACTTTCTAGGTATTTGGGAGGTTGCACTGAGATCCCTTTTTGTTGGGAGCTGGGCAGACAGGAGTCATGCAGAAAGACCGTTACAGAGCAGGCAGTGGCTGGCCTGAGCAGGTCTGCAGAAGTAGCCAGTGTGGCAGACATCAGATATATGTCTGATTAGGTCCTCTAGGATTTCCATGGCCTCTCCATTGTCTCAGTTAAAAATATGTATATGCATATTTAGGTAGATATCACAGAGGGAGTAGATAAAGACCTTAGTAGAAATCTTCTTTTCTTAATTGTTTCTGGATTTGAGGCAACTCTGGTTCCACAAAGGGATACTTTTCTTTTTCAGGGCCTGTGGTTAACTGTCTCCGCGTTCCCTGCCCATCTCACGTCAGGCTGGGAGCTGAGGACAGAGAGGTCTAGTTCTGACCATAGCCTGTACCCCAGGAAAGAGATGGGCAGTTCTTGAACCGGAAATTCTGGATGTGTCTTCTGATGGTTTTCCTGGCTGGTTTTTTGCTGGGGAAGGGGGAGCTACATTTGAATACCTCTCTGCCCAAACCTCCCAGCCCTGCTCTGGTCCGGGCCCTTCTCCTTCCCTGTTCTGACAACTTTTGGGGAAAGGATGGAGGCCACTGAGTGTGCGCCCACCCAGGAGCAGAAGGGATTGGGGTTCCAGGAGGCCCTGCTGCCCTGCCTGAGGTCCCTCCCTCTGTGAGGCTCACAGCACTGGCCTGACTTGCAGAGGGCGAGGGGCCTGTTTAGCGCCACTGTTTTTGTAAGCTAATGAAGGCAGAGTGGGAGCCACGGGCAATGATGCTGGGATATTAACTCTGACAGGAAGCTTGATCATAATTATCTTAACGAGGATAGGGTTAATTACAGTGGAAACTTAAAAGTTCTCTCTGTTTGAATCCGCTGGAGCTGAATGCATTGTGATATTTTGTGATTTTGATGTGACTTTGGAAAACGCACTGGGACTCTCCCAGCAGCCGCAGTGGCTCCTAGGGGAGCCCAGCCGGAGCCCTGCGAACGAGGTAACCAAGATGGTACCTGTGGGTGACATAATGGGCAGCTTTCCCGCTGGTGGAGCGGAGGCCGGCAGCCTGCAGTGCACTTTGGAGGTGCTGATTAGGTTTCCAGAGCAAACCACCTGGCACAGATCGGACTGCACACCGGGTCTCCCTGCCTGCCCTTGACATCTCCTTGCTGGGCCGGGAAGACCTCTCTCCAGCTGGCTGTGCCTTGCCCTCCCTGTCCAGACCCTGTCCGTGGCACTCAGGCCTGCCTGGCCTTCCCAGCCCACCCTTCAGGCGTTTGTAGCGACAGCCAGCCAAGCTGGTGGGTGACCGTGGAGTGACACTCACCTCCTCCACCAGGGCTCTTGGGTCTGGCGTGCATTTTGCTGTCCACACACAAGGTTATAGGGGAGAAATTCCAATCCTGCCATCTTTTTCTTGTAGCTACCATAGCTGTCCCTTGAACAGCATAGATATGTGTGGACCCTTACAGCCTTTTTTGCCTTGTCATTTAATAGCACACATCTCTTTGCAGGCATCTTGTATATAGGGGTATGAGCTCAAAGATTGACCCACATAATTTCTTACCCCGTCTCCTTCCAGGAAAGCAGCAACAACAACAATAGCAATAACACAAAAATAAACTTATTTTAAAAGTAAAAACTAAAAGCACCTTCCAAGCATCTGTTCACTGCCTTCCACATGCCAGCCAAGCTCCCGAAATCCTGTCCCCTCCAGTTTTATCGTTCATTACGCTCTCTGCCTCCTGTCCCTCCAGTCCCTCAGCTCTGAATTTAGCTGATTAAATCACCAAGTGCACACCCCAGTGATGACATGAAGACAGGGATTTATTAATTAGCAACCCCCCACCCCCCGTAACCTGCCTTTTAACTGAGCAGCTAACAATATGACATGGCAAAAAGGATCTCGAGCCAGACAGGTGACAGGGGATTTGAGCCTGAGCTTCCCAAGCGCTCTCTGAAGTCTCCCTCCTGTTTTGAGCTCTGCCCCAGAGCCCACCCTGGAGGGAAAGGCATCTCTGGGGGCGCTCCTTCTAGTGTTCCCGGCTTTGTCCTCACCATGTGGTGTCATTTTGTCTTATGCCTCCCCTGAAGCACTCTTGGAAGGGAGCTTTCTTCTGCCTGCCAGTTGCCAACCCTTTGCTGACTCTCATGATAAAAGTATCATATTTGGATAACATAACTCCGGGACAACGTGTATTTGGATGCCACCTTTGACCAGAGCCCAGCTGATGTTCGTGCACAAAGGACTGATTAGCCATCCATTAGGTGCCCTGATGGGGAGGTGGCCACGACTCCCCTTGACGTAAACGGGGGCAATAGTCCTGACACTTTGGGATCAGCACTCAGTAACCCCCAAGGAGGAAGGGGCTTCAAGAAAGCTTGAAGTTTCCGTGCAGAAGCCACACTTACTACACACCTTTGCACATCTCCTCCTCTGCCCACCCCCTGCATCCTGAACCACCCCCCACACCCCTGACCAAAGGTCAGGGCTTCCAGAAAAATCAATGAGGAAGGAGGAGAAAGAAACCAGTATTTGCTAATAGGTTGTTAGTCCTCTCCCACGTATTCCCTGTAAGATCCTGTGAGCTGGGTCAGCACAGAAGAGGGGAACTCAAGGGGGTTGTTGAGATGCCCAGATTCAGGCTGCAAGTAAATGATGGCACAGAAGTAAAACCCCAGGCCTTCCTGACTGTACGTGTATAAATTTTGTTTTGCTTTCCTGAAACCTGAGGAAGGAGAGAGAGGAGGAGGAGGAAATGGAACTTGGTGACCCTGTTGACCCTTGACCCCAAGTGTATGCGGTATTGCCCCCCTGCTACGGCTCAAGTAGTGTCAGTTACGGGATTAGACGTGGTCTGGGTGCTGGGCCGTGGCTGGGACCACCTGGAGGTTTGGGGCAGGAGTGGGGCTGCTGGTGGAGCTCTGGGCCCAGTGGAGTCTGGGGGTTGAATTGCTTCTTCACCAGACATCTTTCACCTCCTCTTGGTATATTGGAGTCCTATTGACACAGATCCCACAAGGGAGAGATGGATGTATTCAGGAAGGTCTGGTGCTCAAGTTCACACTCACGCCACACATACAGGCACTGAACAGTCACATCACATGTACCGGCATTGCACACGCAAGCAGGAGCGTCTGTGATGGAAGGGCCATCAGTAAATGCATAAATAGCTTAGGCAACATCTCCCCGATTCGTTGCATTTTATAGAACAGCCAGGCAACCCCGTGTGAGTCCACCCTCTGGTCAACGTCGTAGCTCAGCTGTCAGCCTGTGCAAGCTCAGCACAGCTCTTGGGTCTGGCAGGTGAACGAGCTGGGAGCATGTGGCCGTGTGAGTCCCTCCACCGGGCAGCTTTCTGTAATTACCATCTGCGTGCACCGGGCAGGCACATGCGCACAGCTGCCCCTCGCTGCCTGCACCCCTAGCAGCCCTGTGCCCCTAACCTTAAGAGTTAACTTTCAGCTACGTCTATTAACAGGGCTGTTTTCTCCCGATACTTTTTTTCTCTCTGAGCCGGGTACTTAATTCTTTCCGATGCCTGTTTCTTTACTGCCCCGACATCTCCATTGCTGCATTCGGCACTTTTTTCAAAGAAATGAAGTGAGAAATCCACTTTCCATAAATTAAAACAGTAAACGGCAAGTCAGGAGCCTTGAGGCAGAAATTCCCGCAACCCCTTCCTTACCTCACTTTCCCCCCCAAACAAAAACAAAAACGAAAACAAAAAGAAATCATGAAAGAAAAAGAAACAGCCACTCAGACTGGAGTGATTCCGTGCTTCCGCAGATATCTTGCCTTTTGAGGCAGCCACAGGGACACTGGGCAGAAGCAAATTAAGTGATTAGTAAGGAAAAAAAGCAGAGGGGAGAAAAAGTCAAAGGCGGTGAAGGCAGAGAAAGGAAGCCTTCCTTGCCTTTTCCTAGGACTGTGTAGAGGAGAACCGCTAAGAAATGATACTTGAAGTTTTATATTTATTATTGTAAGAGGGGTATGATATTTCTGGGCAGGAATGATGGATGACAACTTAAATTTGTGTCCAGGGAATGAAGGTGAACTGTGACAGAGTTATTTATCTTGGGAATGGAGGTTAGGGTCAGCTGAGGCTGGGTGCCTGAAGGCACAAGACATTGACAAATTTATCCTGCAGGCCGTATCTGAAGCCCTTTGTTTTGGATCCTGGCTACTCACTAAGTGACCCTCATCCTTCATGTTGGCAATGCGTGAAGGATGCGGTGAGTGCCAGCGGCCCCTTCTCCCCCGCCGCCCCCGCCCCGGCTCCCGCTACTAATTCTTGTCATTCACTTTGCTGACAGGCACCAAGCCCAAACTATTCCCAGTCCTGAAAGGGAAGGTTAAAATATTTATTTCGGCTCATAATGGCCTCCCTGATTTAGTGCAGGATCATTTTTCCTGTTGCCTTTGTCATTGCAGGTCACTGGAAGGACTGAGCGCATTCGGGAGCCTGGAGGAACTCATCTTGGACAACAATCTGCTCGGGGATGACCTCGTGTTGCCAGGGTTACCCAGGCTCCACACCTTAACCCTCAACAAGAACCAAATATCCTTGGCTCTGCCGCCACCCACACTCCCTGCCCGACCTCACAGTGGTCCCCTCCCACAGGCCACCCCGCCCCCCGCCCCTGACAAATACCTGCGAAATGTCAAATGAGTTTTATGTGTCAGCTAAAGCGTCGTGTCTCCTGGCACTAGGGACACTTTGGAGTAATTTATTACAGGTCATTCATAAATGAAATGCACCATTATATCTTCCTGTTGCTCCATTTTAGTGTAGAGATCTAAGTTATGGCTGTAAAGAAATCTTTTTAATAGATAAAAATAGAGAAAGAAAATAATGTCACTGCTGCCAAGAAGGCAAAGCCGGGTTCTGTTTGCTTAGGCTTGTGTGGGAGGGCGACCTCTGGTGGGAAGCAGGGGGTAGTACCTCCAAGCAACCTTGGCCTTCAGGGAGGTTTCTGGAAGGCTTTGGCTCAGGCTTGGGGAATGCTTTTGGCCAAAGAGAAGGGGGAAGGGGCTCAGGTGGAGGATAAGTGGGAAGCCCTGGCCCAGCTCTGCCCTCTGGGGTGTTTATGGTACTAGGATGATGAGAGGGGCCGAGGAGAGCCATTCTGTTGTGTGCTTTCTCCTTAAGTGGGCGAGGATCTAGCAGCCTGGGATGAGACTCAAAGGGACTAGTTGCTCTGGATTCTGTAGTGAGGCTAAGAAAGGAATCACAACCTTTATTCAGTGTAAGCCACACAGCTCCTCCAGGTTAGAGTTGTGGACCTCCATGCCTGCATAGTGCCAGCTTGCTTAGGCAAGGAGTTTTGTCAGTTTTGTTAACTCCTGTATCTTCACACCTAGAATAATGTCTGGCGCAGGCATGAGGTTCAGTGAATGATTATGGGATGAAGAAATCATTATCATCAGCTGTTCTTTTTTTTTTTTTTTCTTTTTTGTGGTACGCGGGCCTCTCACCGTTGTGGCCTCTCCCGTTGCGGAGCACAGGCTCCGGACGCGCAGGCTCAGCGGCCATGGCTCACGGGCCCAGCCGCTCTGCGGCATGTGGGATCTTCCCGGACCGGGGCATGAACCCGTGTCCCCTGCATCGGCAGGCGGACTCTCAACCACTGCGCCACCAGGGAAGCCCATCATCAGCTCTTCTTTATTGAGCACTCCTGTGGATCCGACACTATGCTAGGTAACTTTAAGTGTATTATTTTTCATTCTTTCCAAACCCTTTGAGAAGGGTGTGGTTTGTCCATTTACCTAGATGAGGAAAGAAGTGAAATATAGGCCCACAGCCAGACATTTAACAAGATGCTAGGCCCCGGATTCAGTCTCAACTGTGGCCAGATCCAGAGTTCTTTCCATTTTACTGTGTTACTTCAGACTTGAAGTCCAGTCACCTTGTTTTATTGGTGGAGCGTTTGAGACCTGGTGTGGTTTAATCACTTGTTCACGTGGTAAGTTAGAAATAGAAATGGGATGGGGGCATTTTCCCATAGAGTATGAAATAAAGCCAGATAAATATGTTAAGATTAACGTATATGTTTATGTCAGCTTTAAGACTGATTTGCACAATTATTTTTAGCCACTGTTTATATGGTAAGTCATAAGTTAATATTTTCCTTATTCAGTAAAATATGCTGTTTGTGTCCATTAATAATAGGCACTTTCTTAGAAGAAGGAGGAGGCCTACAAGTAAATATCGGTCTTTATCATAATGAAATGTTGATGGATTTTTTTTTTCTTCTCCTATCCTTTGGTCAACCAAGTTTCCTAGTTGTTTGAAAAATTATTACAGTCAGTGTGTCTTATGGGTTCCTTAGCTTCTGGGATGATCAGCTGGATGATATTCTCAAATCAGTTAAGAATAAAAGGATAATTAGACTAGAGTTTGGATGATATGGTTCCTCCTATGGACCCCAATGCTCATATCCTGTGTCCCACATCACTGTCGAGTATTGCAGTTGTTGGACTTGGGTTCACGTGTCAGCTTAATCATGTTTAGCTGTGTGGCCACGGTCAAGTAATCTTCTCAGAGCCTGTTTTGCATTGTTGTGTGTGTGTGATGTTACAGCTTTCACCTGCCTATCAGAATAACTCATAAAGAGGAATATGTGAAAAACTTTTTTGCATGTTGGAATCACAGTACAATGATGACATAAGCAAAGCAGGTTTCTGCATAGTTATAAAACCAGCTGCCTCTGCCCCGGGATATTGTCAAGAAGGCAATATAAAAAATGGTACCGTGAGAAGGGCTTCCCTAACAGCCCACAGATGAAGTCACAAGAACTGTACAGCAAATGCTGTACAAATGCTAATCCCAAACTCAATTCCTCTTCTCACTCAGCACACTTCCTGGCCGCTTCTCTGTAGTATTAATTGGTACGTACTAAGAAACGCAAGCTCCTTTTAGCACCAGCCTGAGCAAAACAATTAAAAGAAGGGCATACCAGCTGTGAGAGAATGTCATTTCATGCAATCCCAGTCTGCAGATGAATCATTGGGTGATTTTTCTTTTTCTTGATCAGCCACTGATTTATGTAATAACCAGTTATTGGAAAGTATTTGTTGGATACCAGTGTATCTGAAATACGTACGTTATAGTATTGCTTTCTTCTATTACCACTGACAATTGAAGAGATACTAAGTATTGATGCCTGGCAGATTACCTGGTTAGTCTAATTAGGTTAGATTCTACTAATATTCATGCTTCATGTGAACTTACTAAGCATTACTGTCTCACATTTTAGAGGATTCATTTTCATAACCTGGCATAGAGTATACTGAAAATGCACAGGGATCCACTTTAGAATTAATTAATTAACTTTTTCAATTTATTTAAACTAAAAACAATGGCAACAAAAGAGCAGTTTACCATTTCTCCTACTCCCATCACCCCCTCCCTCTTCTGGCAACCACCAGTCTGTTCTCTCTATCTATGAGTTTGGTCTTGATGTCATTATTGTTGTTTTAGATTCCACATATAAGAGAGATCATACAGTGTTTGTCTTTCTCTGTCTGACTTATTTCACTTAGCATCATGCTCTTGAGGTCTATCCATGTTGTCACAAATGGCAAGATTTCATTGTTTTTTATGGCTGAATGATATTTTATTGAGTGTGTGTGTATCACAGTTTCTTTATCCATTCATCCTCAATAGACACTTCGGTTGTTTCCATATCTTGGCTATTGTAAATAATGCTGCAGTGAGCATGGGGATACATACATCTTTTCAAGTTAGTGTTTTTGTTTTCTTTGGATAAATACCAAGGAGTGGGATCCTGGATCATATGGTAGTCTTAATTTTTTGAGGAACTGTCATACTGTTTTCTATAGTGGCTGCACCAATTTACATTCCCACCAACTGTGCACAAGGGTTCCCTTTTCTTCACATCCTCACCAACACTCATTCTTGTCTTTTTCATAGTAGCCATTCTAACAGGTGTGAGGTGAAATCTCATGGTGGTTCTGATGATTAACAGTGTTGAGCATCTTTTCATGTACCTGTTGGCCATCTGTATGTCTTCTTTGGAAAAATGTCTATTCAGATCTTCTGTCTATTTTGTAATTGGATTGGTTTTCTTTTTGCTTTTGCTATTGAGTTGTATGGGTTCTTTGTATATTTTAGATATTAGCCCCTTATGAAATATTATTTACAATTATTTTCTCCCATTCAGTGGGTTACCGTTTTGTTTTGTTGGTGGATTCCTTTGCTGTGCAGAATGTTTCTCATTTTTAAAGGAATAAGGTGGACTGAATAACGGTTTTGTTTTCAGTGTTGCTATCACCAGATATTAACAGGCTTCTTGTTTTTCCTTGGTTCAGTCCTTGTCTCCAATCTGTAGCAGTAATGCTCAGGGAGCAATGATGGTGGTGTGAAAGGGACTGCAGCGGAAGGCAATGTGTAGCTGTAGAGCTGGCCAGTTATATCACTACACTGTTGTAAGTACTTTATTGCCAGTAGATACAAAAGTTAACTAGTTAGCTTTTTCATGATGAAGCATGACTTCTTTCTCCCTTGATCTACCAGTGTGATGGTGAAGATTGGTTTACTTTGCCTATGCACTTGACCAAGAAGTTGTAGGATGAAAGGCAGGTAAAAGCAGCAGTAACACTACATGCCATTCTCTTATCCTGTACTCCTGACGTGACCTTTTCAGCCAACTGACTCTCCTCCCTACTTATGGAAATACTCCAGGCTCTACAACAGCTATGAGGTTCCATATTGCTATTGTTACTCCATGAAATGCCTTAGACTAGGGCTTTGTCAGTTAGCATTGCTGCGTAATAATCCACCCCCAAAATTAGTGGCTTAAAATAACAAATATTTTTGGTTTACAATTCTGTGCATCAGCTATTTGGGCAGGGCTCAGCTGGATGGTTCTTCTGCTAGTCTTTCTTGGGTCACTCATGCAATCACAGTTATTTGGAGGCTCGGCTGGATGATCTGAGATGGCCTTGCTTATATATCTGGAGGTTGGTACTGGTTGTTGGCTGGACTGCCTGTCTCCAACAGGCTAGCACAAGCCTTTCCATGTGGGAGGGATGCTCCAAGAGCAAAGCTTGATGTACAAGTACTTTTAAAGCCCTGTTTGCATCATGGATGTTGCTGTCCCATGGCCAAAGCAAGTCACGTGCCAAGTGTAGAACAAATATGAGAGGGATTCCAGAGCCCAAACCAAGCATCTGGCAAATTTCTTCTCGGTTCACTTTCCCAGCTGCACACTTCCTCCTTGATCTCCCAGCCCTTTGTTCCCCTTCTGTTCAGCCCTCAGCTTTGGGGTCCTGTTCTGGTAGACCTAAGAGCTTGGTTGTCCCAGTCTACCTCTTCATCTCATATTTATAGCTGATCTCTCTCTCCTTCCTTTGGCTTGTCTGGACTAGTCCCGTGGTCACTGGCCATGGAGTGGACTTCCTCTCCTCAACACTCATATTCTCACACTCTCTCCTTCTTGCTCACCCATGAGTATGGACAGTCTCAGCCGTATAGTGTCTGAATACTCAACCCTAAATAAGGGAACAACAGAAATGTCAGGAAAATATAGATAGTTA